TCGGCATGGGTCTTGAACGTGCTTCTTCAGGTCCTGGGGACGCTTGAAGGACTTGCCGCAGAACTCACACTTGTGAGGCTTCAGGGGGACGTGGACGCGGATGTGCGAGGTGATGTGATCACGCTTGACGGTGGTGGTGCGGCACGAGTTCCACTGGCACGTCAGGTTGAGGTTGTTGGTGCTCTTGCGGCCGACATGGCGCTCGCAGAGATGCTCCTGGCTTGGGGGTCAGCGGGCTGCTCAACTCGTCATCTGGGAGCAGGGAGCAGGGAAAGGAGTGGTCCATACGTAGAGAGCCTCTGGCGTGACGAACTTGAGGTTGCACGAGTTCCACTTGCAGATGAGGTTGTCATCGGAAGAAGAGCTGGCGGCAGCGGCCGAAGCAGCCGTCGACTGTGAGGTGTTGCTGTTGGCGCCGGTAGAGGGCGCGGGCGTGTTGGACTTGGATGAAGCGCTCCCGGAGGATTGCTGTTCTTCTGGTCTCGCTGACATGATGAGAGAGAGCAGTGGTTTTGTGTGTGAAGAGGTTGAGGGGGCCTGCGTAGTGGGGCGCGTCACGCTTGGAAGTGTGACCGGTTGGCAGCACCTGGCGGGAGCGCAAGGTGGTGCAGGAGAAATGGGTGATTGGCTGTGATGCCTAACAAACGCTTGCGTCTGTTGTAGCGGTCCTTCTTGGCGGTCTCTTCTTCTTCTTCTTCTTTTTCTCTTCGGTGGCTCTGGACGGTTTCTTATTCACGGAATAAGACTCGGTTCAAAAATGGCGAAGAGGATGAGATGGGACCTGTGAGATATGCTGGAGGAGGGACAGGCTCCGAACCGGGGGACGGGCGAGCGATGGTCTGTTCCTTTATCTCCAAAGTCACCAGAGCATGACCGGAGAAAGGCTTGGCGTAATCTTGGCGGTTGTCTTGGCGGTCGGGGGTTGCGGATCACCTCTTCCACTCATTGGCCGGTAGTGGCGAGAGGGGCGCAGGCCAAAGTTCTGTCCGCGGCGAGGTACTTTTCGCGAGGTGGACGGCCGCATGCCAGGCAAAGTCTCTCACCCGAAAAGCGACTTGGGGCCGCTTGCGATGCCAAGAGGAGGCCAAGTCTTGGCCAAGACTTGGTGCGTCTTGGCATTTCTCAGGCCGCCTGATGATGTCCCCCCCTTCGCACCCTTTCTTTGCGCTCCGAAGCCCGTCGAGTCTGTTGCACCGGCCACACATTGCCCAATTGACTCGCGCACCTGTGCCTTTTCGTCTCCATTCGCTTTTCACTCACGAGGCGGTCGGATCTATCGATGACCATCTTCTTACCCAATAAGCGTGCCAGCGGCAAGGCGTGCCGTCGTATGCCTACATGCGGTAACATTTGGTAGCTTGTTGGTCTGCTTACAAACGTGCAAAACGCAAAACGGGCCATGACAGGAAGGCGCAAGGGAAACGCGGTTCGAGTGACTCGAAAGTTGTCCGTCATGGGTTGTTTGAGAATGCTGCAACGCAACGGACACACACATGGAAGCAGTTCTGGGAAGCAGTTCTGGGTCTGTCTCCTTCTTCTTGGTGAGTGTCTTGGCAATACCCTGTGCGTCCAGAGGATCAGCCCTGTCAGACTCTTCCTCCTCCTCTTCCCTCGCAGGGACCTTGGCCGGCCGCGGCCTCTGACGGTGTTCCAAGTGTTCCAAGGCGCCGACCGACACACACACATACACAGAGGCCAGGCACACAGGCCAGACACAGGCCAGGCACCCTGCAGCGGCTAGCGCCCCGTTCGACGCCCAAAGGCAAGTGCTGTGCAGGCCCGGCCACACTGGCAGAAGCTACATGGTGCATGTACTGTACATGTACAGCAGGAACGAACGCTGGGACGAGGCAGGAGCAGCCAAATCAAGCTTTCCGCTGTGGCCGAGACTCCCTCTCCGCCCGCCAAGACTGCGACCTGCGAGTCCGCCCACTGGGCCACGCAAGCCGACCCCCTCTTCTCCATCCTTTGAGTGGTCCTGTCTCCCTCTTCATCCGGCCGCCCAGCCTTTCCGGCAACCCTTTTCTTCCATTTCCATTTGGCGCCCATCGACCCGATCATTCTGGCACGGCACCACATGCATCGGGGGGGCGGTAACTGGCGTGTCTGACGGGACGATGATGCTCCTACCAGCCTTGAATCGCTGTGAACGGCCTGCTTCGCGCGCCTTGTCAATACCATCCTGGGAGGCTACATGTATATTGTCGACGATGAGTCCGACATGTCACCAGAGCGCAGCAACTGCTACCCCCATTCGGCCGCAGCCCACCGGATCTCGTGGCCGCCATCCGCCAGCAATTGCCCACTCGCGCCTCCACACCTCGTGGAGGGACCCGTTGCGTTGCTTTGCTTTGCTAGTGTCTGCCAGGAGCCTCACCTGTGTCGCCGTCAGGAAAATGGAACAGCTCACTTCACGACGCAGCAATCTCGCTGCTGCGACTGAATGTCCCCTTCCATGGTACATCACCCTCGCTCCCTGTTGAGCCCGCATGGCCATGATCGGACTTCCTTCTTGGGTCGTTACACCACAGCTATCTCGCAGAAACACGCGCCATCGTACGATCTGAGACGTCGCTGTGACTTCTGCCCTCTCCATGGCCATATGCACCCAGCCGATGGCTGGACTCGGTCTGTCCTCCACGAGCGCATCGTTCGCTCATGATGTCAGAGGCTGCCCAACCACCCATGCGCTTCGTACCGCTGGCTGACTTCCTGACAGACTGCAACCGATGTACAACTGTGCCCCTACAGACCAAGTCCTCCCCCTTTTCCCAGGGGCTTCAGCATGTGCGGTGCTTCCTCGCCTCCACGCCGCCTTGCTCCTCGCTCCCATTTGTCTACAGCATCGGGGCTTTCCACTCTCCGTCAGGAGCCAAGTCTGGCCAAGAGTTCTCAAGGCCAGCCAAGGGTACTTCGCAGGTGGCCAAGCCATCGCCAAGGCCTTGGCGAATTCATCATCAAGACCGTCGTGACATATACCTCACCTCACGCCTTTGTTCCTGATACAACGAACGGACCCAAAGTCTTCACGTGCTAACCTTGATCCCCAGGACTCGGTAGCCCCGAACTATCCAGGACCAGGCCAGCCGCCCACAGTTTCTCTCACAGTCGGATTATCCAGACATCTGACCATCACTTGGGTTTTGACGCGTCACGGGGGCCTCAAACTCGTAATGCTAAGCATTGGCATTGTGTGTGTTCCTCCTCAGCATCCACCGTAAACCTGATGCGCTTGAGAGCAATGTGGTTCAGATCTGAGACATTGAGTTGACGGACGACCTACAACATGAGCCAACATGCATCATCATGTCGTGACATGCCAGCGGCGCTCCGAGCTATGCAGGTCTTGTTGACAGTGACAGACAGTCAACGTGCTTCTGTCGTCAAATTGGCTGCAACTATGTCTTGCTTCGCTGGAACTGCTCAAAATAGTGCAGCTTGTATAATGTGTACGTAGCCTGATTTCAGGCTGCGATACTTTCACGCGTCTCTCCATTCGGTAACAACAAGGCACTTTGTCCTGCCAGGTTGTCCAACAAGACAAGAAACCGCACTATTTCGAGGAAAGGCGCAACCAGCTGTGGCCGCTGGTAGCACATTACAGTACCCCGGCTTTCGTGCCTCCAAGTGGTTAACATTAAGCATCCCTCGGCGCCAGTCTCCTTGGCATCGACTCTCTGGGCAAAGCTTACGACATCGACCGCCAAGTACAAAACACGCGATGCGCCATGCCGTGCGCCCCTCTTTTCTCGCCATATCAGGCCGTTGGCTTACGCCAGCCTCCAATTCCTTGGTGTTTGCTGTATCTTCTTGCGGTGTGTTGCGTACACGGTGATAGTTTACTGCAGGCGCCTCAAGGCAAGCCTTACATGCAGATGCTTTGTCCTCCGTGTGCTTGACCGCAATTTGGCCTCATAAAGCTCTTATCCCAGCAAAGAGCTGCCAACTGACTCCTGGGCTGCCTGGCCCTGAAACCATGTTTTTCGAGATTTTGATACACCACCGACCAAGAAGCATACATCTTGATATGCAAGGCAGGCTGCATGTGGAAACTGAATAGATAGATCAAAGGACTTTTCGATCAGTCGCTGGCCACAATGTATAAATCAACTCCACATCGGAACACGGCATCCCGCAGAACAAGGCTTGAACCTGATACTGCGGGCCTCCCAGGAGCTACCTGTCCAGCGAGCCCCTCGCCTGGCAGCTCATCCAGCTTCGAGCTGAGAGTCCAGATATTGATCCCGACACTCCGAGTCCTATCAAGAACAGCCGCGCGGTCCGATATCAATCACCAAGCCTGTGCGGATAGACTGGAGCTGTGCGAACTCCGGCATGGGACTCCATCCAACACTTCCGGATATCCACAAGAACAGGGAGGTCTTCCACTAGCCTCCCGTCACGCCGCGCGTACGGCAGGTGTACCGCACCGAGCCGCCTCCGGCTCGGTGTTTTTGTTTGGTTCGACGTGTGTGTTGATCATCTGGCCTTGTGGTGCACGTCCTGGGATGGTTTCCCGTCTGCATTGGCAGGCATGCACGTCGCAAGCCCGGCGCGTCTTGGCCCATGTCAGGCCCGGCTGCCGTGTCTTCGTTGCGGTATCCGTGGCGCACGCCGCGCGTTGCTTACTTTCGCTCTGGCTTTGGCACGCAATGGGTATTGTTGAAGCTTGCTGGGCGTAGTCTTGGCCTGCTTGAGCTGAGCCGGCCGCTGGTTTTGTTGGCCAGACAGATGGACACGAGACTGTAGGCAGAGATCTCGGCTGAAACAAGGGCCGCGACTTGTACCCAAGTTGTAGATGTCCTAGGAACTTAGGCCTCTCGCTTTTGTCTAGCTATACGTTCACCGGCAGGAGGTCGGTAGAGTGATCACAGGGAACGAGGCTGGCCCGAGATCCGGACCTCGACGTGTGACGTGAAAGATCAAATGAGCAATGAAGAACAGACAGTCTGAACGTCGTAGAGGTCAAACAGTCTCAGAACCAGTGGGCGCATCTCCCGCTGCTGGCTTGATGCTTAACATCCGCACTGATACTGCATGGGCCCAGCGCTTGACCCAACTCTATTTCTTGCAGAACGAGTTATTTCGTGGCATTCTGACTCCGAATCCTGGCTCAAATCTGCCCATCGGGTGGCAGCTTTTGGGCTCGGAATCTCTTGTCGGAGGACATGTGTGGAATAGCCACGGGTAGTTTGTATCCCGTTCTTCCTGGGAGTCTCAACCAGACGCGACAGACCTAGCAGTGTCGTGGAGTGTGCTATATACCAAGTGCGTCCTCGTCACCGCACAGCCAGCGGACTGAATGTGATGAGAACGGAGAATGAAAGAGAATGAAGCATCCGAGGGAGGGTAAACATCAGGCTTTCGAGGGCCTAATACCATAAGGATACCCAAAATATTCATTCTGAGGAATCTCATTATGACATACTGGTACGGTATAAAGGTGTTTCTCATTGAATTATGCAAATTATAAAACCCTGCATAACATGGCCGAGTGGGATGGCGACGGGTTCACTGACATTATCTGTATTACATAAGCTTGTGTAACATGGCCGAGTGAGAAGGCGCCAGGTTCGCTGGCATTATCTGCATTACATAATTCTGCATAACATGGCCGAGTGGGAAGGCGACAGGTTCGTCGACATGCACGTGACGTCCGGCGCAAAGCCTTCCCTAATTGCTCGAGTATAAGAGCCCAACACTGCCTGAACCGTATACTTCGGGCGCTTTTGTATCATGTATGATATGGACTGCTGGCATGTTGAGCATCTATCTCGTGGCCCTATTGCCCGACAGCTCTGCCAGGAGGTCGAGGTAGAACTAATGGACTCGGGAGTTGCGTGATGTCGCCTCCTGCAAGATCTCATACATCGCGGCCTCTTCTGCATATCTTCTTAGTTTATTCACAATGACCCAGTGGGTTGCCTGGGGGTGACTACTATAGGCTCTCGATACCTTCGCAAATGCCATTCGCCCATTTGATGTCGCCTGTCACGCGCAAATGAAGCAGACATTAAAAAGCAAACATCGGATTATATGTGCTCACGATGCTCCATAGTCCTGAGCGTCATATTTCCTTATAGCAGACTTTGTATTCGAAAGACATCGTTTCCGCTGCTTCCGGTGAAGGCACTCGCGGGGTGAAGTCGACGGTGAACCTCCAACAGACCGAGATACCGGCAAACAAAACATGCCGATATTATCAAGTAAATACGCATTGCTCATCTAGGATACAGGAGCTACAGTCAAGTCTGAGCATCACGTCTACCTTGGCCCTTGTGACAGGAGATGACTGAGGCAGAACCGCTTTGACTCGCCTACTGTCCTGGCAAAAGCTTTGGACGGTAGCCGCACTATTGAGGCCGAGGGACAGAAGATGCTCTGCCTTGTCAGAGTAGATTCTCTAGAATGTCTGGGTGCTGCAGGGATCATTTTCAAACACAAACACTGATACTCGCCGATCCTTCGTGGTGAGTCGGCCCAGGTTTGCGTCGGCCCCGCGAACTCTCTTACCATGACTTACAACGCGCGAGGACGTGTTCGTAAGCCCGGGAGGAGCCTCACATCACTGCAGCTTTCATCAGACGGATGATTCTGATTGAGAAGTAACTGGCACTTACACTATTTATAAGCAACGTCTTGTTGATGCGTATTTGTCCTTGAGACTAAGTAGCAATGCCTAACCGAGGATCAGCACAGATACTGGCCCTGTTTAATGTCCCTCGCCCTTGAATTTCTTCGCTGAAATTAATAAGCCTCCACGTCAAGAGTTTCTTTCCCATAATAACGAACAGTCCAAATGGCCACGGCTTGAAGTTGGATTCGGAGCAAAAGGACCTGGCCAGGTTCTACTTCAGGAGAACACACGATAGTGGATTCGACCAGGAGACAAGAGATGTAGGGAATAACATCAATACTGGACTCTTGTGCCTTCTCCTGTGTGGATAATCTGATCAATGGCGCCTCGAACTGTTTATTGTTCTACGAACAGGACTATAAAGCGACGGCAAAGGCTACATGACGGACGTCACCCGCCACGGGAAACAGCAAACTCCGGCCACCAAGCAACCGATTCAGCGCAGGACCTCGAGGAGCAGTCCAACTCATTCTTGGACATGCGGCAAGAATTTTCTGCCTTTCATACATGTATTGTCGGCTGGCAGACTGCCATGACCGAGGGATGTTCGAACCACGCAGAAGGCAACTTGTGATCATACCTGAATGGAAACCAGTGGCTCGTCCCTGCACTAAAGCCTACGCAACGGAGCACAATCGAATCAGTCCCGCGCGATCACGTCGTGCTCCTTTCATGTGGCACGCAGAATTGAGGACGAGAAGTGATTGATTTCAATCTGCAAACTATGAAGCACCAGGTACGAGTCGTGCCGTAGTCACCAAAGTCTCCGCAGTTGCTCTTGCAGTCGCCTACTCAAAACCGTCTTTGCTCTCTTTCCACCCTCCTCGTCAGGCCCGGGTCCCCATGCTCAAGCTGTCGTCTTGAGAATGCCAGCGAGCCACGTTGCATAGCCCTTCCGCTTCCCGCCCTGCACAGAAGTGCCTGAGATCCTAAGCCTGTCCATCGATGAATCCTGTGCAACCACAGCTGATGTGTTGCCCACCCAAGCATGCCATTCGAAAGGCAGCATCCCGTTGTTTTCCTGGGCTAGCCCCAGGAAGAATTAAAAAGAAATTAAAAGAAGAATGTCCAACAACGATGGTGCCAGTGCAGTGGCAGGCATTGCGTGGTAGTGCCGATGTGTTCTTCTCTCCACAGGCTTGTTGAAGTGGAGATGTGCCAAAGAAGTGAAGTAATGCCCAGGTATGTTCCAGAAAGCGTATACGCGGAACGTCGTAAGATGGTATGAGGTGTAAATGGTAAAGGCCAGCCGATATCCATGCCCTTTGCCATGAGCATCGCATTACTCATCAGAAGGCCGATGTCGTGTTATGGCCGAAATGAAACGCACCCAACTTGAGCCGGAATAAATAGCCACTGCTTCATGCATCGAAGCAAGGTGTGGCTCAGCGGTGAGGTGCGTGTTGATCGATATGCAATGGAAGTTCCGAAACCCGATAGTTCCAAAAGTCATCCGTCCAAAAGTGGTCGTTGACGGATGATTGTCCATGTGATGAATGCCGTGTCTGTCCTTGGGCCCGCATACTTTTGTGCCACTGCAGGGCAAGTATCCTCCTTGCATCATCTTGCGTCTCTCAATAGACCCCAGAAGATCCCGACCTGTGCAAAAAAGGGGGGAAATGATCAAAGACACGCCGGCCCGATCGATCGGAGGCAAGTCGTAACACGGTATCCTTGGCCCAGCCAACCGCCCGTCCCAAAACGGGAGAAAACATGCCGTTCCCTCCATTTGTTATGATGCGAGGCGCACCGCGTTCCCCCTACCCCCCCAAAAACGCCATGCTATGCAGAAAAATGATATTACAGAGAACCCAGGCGGAGAAGAGCCTCCACGGCGTCACGCTCCTGTGCGTCCGACGTGGCTCCTAGCGCCGAAAAGTCAAGGTTGAGCGGCTGGGGCGACCGCGCCATACCGTTTGAGACGGATCGTAGGCCTCCTGAGGCGTGGACGGAATTCAGAAAACTGCGACCTGCCGGAGTGGCATATGAGTCAGCGCGTAGGGCGGCGGCACCCACCGCTGCCCAGTCTTCGTCATCGGTCACGTCTTCGGGGTCATCGTTCATGATCATGTCGTCGTCAGGAGCCTCAGAGCACGAGGCTGAAGCCGAGCCATCGAGCGACATTTTGTCAGCTTCGTCTTCCATCATCATCATCGGGTCGTGGTCATCGTGGGAGAAAACCATAGAGCCGGCTGTCTCGGAGGACGCGGCGTGGAGGCGCGAGCGATCGACCCCCCTGCCACCAGCACTGCTCTTGTTGATGGGAATGCCCGAGACGTGATCGTTGTCTGCGGGTGGCGACGTCCTGCGCGAAGGGTGGCCGCGACGACGGGCGTCCCAGCGTCCCCAGCCAACCTTCTCAAACTCGACGTCGCCATCAGGACCACCGCCCTCGCCGCCTCGTCCCTCGAGCGCACCGACGACAAGCCTGCGAGCCTTGGTCGGGGGAACGCCGGCGAAGCCTGGGACCGAGGTGGTCAGGTAGCCCATGATGTGGCGGATGGCCAGGGGACCATGGTTGAGCAGAATCTCGGGCAGGTGGTGCTTGGCCAGCAGCTGGGCGCTGATAGCGCCAGTGGCATCGTAGGGAGGTGAGCGCGAGGCGTTGCGACCACGAAGACGGGCGTCGTGGGCGTCGTGCAGGTCCAGGTCCGAGTCGATGGGCTCGAGCTTGGCCTTCTGCAGCTGGGCCTTGAGGCCGTGAGGCGGCAGCGCCGGGGAGATGGAGTTGGGAGGAGTCGGGAGGGTGTGAGATCGTGTCACAGTCGGGACACTCCGAGCCGCTACAACAGTCAAGTTGTCTCGGCTCAAGGAGGCCTGGGGGGTATCGCGAGCAGCTGCTGCCGTGGTTGCCATGGTGTCGGATCGGGGTCCGGTTGCTTCGAGACGAGCCTAACCAAGCAAAAGTGATTAGTTTGCGGAAAACCAAGTGATGGAACAGAGTCGTGATGCGATGCGACGCGTATTTGAAAGCAAAGAGAAAGGGGCAACGGTCGTGGTGGTCGCCAGGTTGAGTCACAGGGGGGCGCAAAAGCAACCAGAGCGCGAAACAACGAGACGTACCAAGTCAGTCCGAAGCAGTGGGATAAGCTGATGCTTTGCGTGGAGAAGCAAAGCAAAGGGGTGGCAAGAAAAGCGACGACTGGCAAGCTAGCAGAGCTGAAGCAATGACCTTGACTGCAACAAGAAAATCTCGATGCGATTTCGTGTTATTCTTTCGTGATGTGGTTGTGCGTTGGGGGAGGAGGAGGGAAGGGGAGGGCAGCGGGAATGGGGGAGAGGTTCTAATGTACAGCCATCGCCCATTGCCATGGTGAGAGACGAGTGCGCGCGCACATACAGCACACAAGAGAGATAGGTAGAGAGAGAGAGGGTACGTCAGTTGTGCCTGTAGATGCCAGCCAAGACGAGGTACCTATGGACAAGGGAAGGAGAGGTACGGCAGTATGGGGAAAGGTACTTGAGCTAGTGTAGCTGCAGCAGTGACAATCCAGGTCCCGCAGGTCGGCTTGTGGGTACCTTCCCGCTTGCCTGAGGTCATGATTCCTGCCTTGTCGTGGCCACTGCTCACTGAATGCCTGCCCGGCTGGCGTAGGCAAGTACATGCTAGGCTGCACATTCCCCAGCTACGGGTAGTTTTGGGGCCGTGGAGCCCCGAAGCGACAGCGAAGCAAGGCCCGCCCAGCAGCCAGCTGCTCTGGTTTGGGCTGTCAGAGGGGGTGGCTGCAGCTCTTTCCCGGCCTGAGGCGCTGCACATGCACCAAGCGGCCAACGCGACAGGGAAACACAGGGTGTGCTTATAGCTGTCATGGGGGCTGATGTATCCAAAGTGTTCATCCCTGCTTCCCGCTGGCACAAGACACATTGATGCTGTATACAGTGTCAAAGGTCGTCACTTGAGACAGTAAAGTTGGAAGGGAGGGATCAGAACAGCACAGTTGCCTGGAGGGAGTCATCGCACGTGAACAACCAAACTCGCTTTCCATGTTCTCTCCCTCCTTGTTTCCTAAGTACTTTTCTCTTATGAGCGCTCGCGTCTGCAGGAATCTGGTTTCTAGCATCCATCCTGAGATTTACGCAATTTCGCCATGGTCAAAATAATAATTCTGTTTTCTTTCTGTGCGCACGCCATGCTCAATAGCCCGTCCTCTGAACACGAAAGATCACAAGCTGTTGTGGATATGGCCCCATCTGCTTTGTACGCGGCTGTCTTCCGGTATCAAAGCGCTTCCGTGTCCACGCTGGCTGGACTTGCCCTTTTTGCCTTGCCTTTCCCCCCCTTCCCATGGCGCCAAAGCTGACAACGCGTATCCCTGGAGCGTGGAGTCTGTGGACCGCGTACTACTAGCCACGGACAGGATGACTCAAACGTGCACCAATCGCCCACACAAAAAGATATTTTGGAAAGGCAAAGGGGGCATCAGAAAATAGGGGAAACGAAACCACAAATACCACAGCGAGATGAGCCATCTCCCATCCCAGCAATCCGGCTCATACCAGGACGCTCGGCCCAGCATATCATGCCCTGCCACTTTCGACCCCCTGAAATTTTCACTTTGGTCGTGAGGGCATCATCACCCAGACAATCAAACCCTGCCTTCGTCCCTCTGTCAAACACGGCGGAAACCGGGAGCCGGCCGCGCTGGCACTGCGGACCCAAATCCATGGATCCGTCAAGTCGTCTCATCCCGGCATCGCTCTGATCACCGGCTTCTCCCCCGATGGCCGATGTACCCCATGTGATCCGCAATAGCTCCTGAGTTGCCCCTCCGCAGACGCCTGGCTCTTCGTGGAGATTGCGCCGTCTCACGAAATCATTGTGTCCTCTCTTGATCCATGGCTACCCGTGCTGCCACTTGTTCTCATGTGAAACAACCCAGCCAGGGAACAGCTTGGACCGCATTAATCTGATCCGTTCTATACCGTCCGTTACGGCTGGCTGGTATCGAAAGCCGCCGTATGGACGATTCAGGATACCAGGGCTCTGGGCAGACAAGATTGAATGTCCTTAGGGCTAGGGCAGGACGGGACGAGGGTCGATAGGGAGCCAAGCGCCATCGTTCACGATAGCTATCTATCCCGTCACGCAGCGGCCGCGGACGATGCGCCGATGTCGCCTTGCGTGTTCACGATCGCGATCAGCGGGCACCTAATGCCTCTGTTGGCTCACCCAGTCCTAAACTAGGCCTGAAGAGATAACTGGCCATGTTGATGAATGAGGCGATGTTGACTCTTTGCTTGTCATCGCTCGATTGGCGGTCACAAGGTAGGCCCAAGTCGTGGCTAACCCGACCCGTTGCCTGCAAACTTGGCCATCCTTTGTCACAAGTCATGGCATTGCCCTTTGGTCAAACACCGAACGCCAAAGACCCCTTGATCGGCACTTGCATCCCAAGTGTACCGACAAGCCTCACTCCCTCGTGGCCAGAACCTTTAAACCCAATCGCAACACCAGACTCGAGTCGTGCTTGGCCTAAAAAGCACCCTTACGTTCAGCCACGGCGTGCCTCCTCCGGTGTTGTGCCAAGCCGTCCAGAACGGACGTCCTGATGCTAGACTTACGACAGCATCGTCACTGAACCTCATCAGCACGAGTACGATGAGTACGATGACGATGATACTGGGCCCAGGATCTCTGCTGCAGGAACTCCCACACGCCGCCGCCTCTGCGTCATCGTCACCAACACGAACCCAGTGGTCCAGAACCGGACAAATTCAAGAGCCAACGCCCCATTCACGCGCGTCGACCGGGGTGGCTGTGTACATACAAAGGGCTGGTGACTGATTGGCGATGACCGGACGACTGAACGAGTCACTGGGCCCTCTCTATTTCCATCCCTTTCAGATCATCAAATGCCCGAACGCCCCCGTTCCATTCTCACTGTGTACATCTCTTCGCGCCTAGGGGGCGTGGCTTTACGATCCCGGGCGCACAGTGTCGTTACTTGTACAGACACAGTCCAGTGACTTGTGTGTTTGAGAAGAGAGAGAGGGGGGGTGTCTCCCACAGATAGGCAGAGTGAAGCCCCATGCGCCAGCCACCGACCCGCGTCCACCCCCATCCTGCCCCCAATGCTTACGGAGGAGATAAGAGACGACGACGACGACGTATGACTGCCACAATGACCCGAGGACTACCAACATATTCCCCCGGATAGAGGGGGGGGGGGGGGGGATATCACTCATCACGATATCGGCACCAGCATTCTTCCTCGGTGTTTTTTGATCAGTACATTTCTGTGTGTATCATCTGATGATGGAGCAAGCCCAGGTCCCCGGCCTACCCTTTCCACATTCACACCACCTGTACCAACCCCTCTCTCCCTCGCCCCTCATCGGCAATGTTTCGACTGCGCGATGCATCTGCTTCAATCGGGCGGTCCAGTACGAACGCGGGCTGACACCATGGGCAACCATGTATCGTCGCCTCTTGAAGAAACATGCGCTGAAGAACTGTTGCATAATGTCGACAAGAAGTGGAGGAGAAGTGCGCCTCGCTGGTCTTCATGCTCGCATTGGCAGTTGGCAGAATTCCATTGCACCACACTTTCTCATCCTCCGACGAGGCGCGCAGCCATCACGTTCCGTCGAGCGGGCTCTGCGATTGGTGTATTCGAAAAAAAACAGCCGAAGGGTGCGACGGCATGATGGTGTGTACGTGTTAGTGTGGCGTGTAGGCAAGGCGCGCGTGGACCACTCTCCGCACAAAGGTAACAAACCCCACTGGCGTTAGCCAAGTTGTACGTCCCTTTGCGTCTCATCAATGTGACTTGTAGAGTGTCTAAATGAGCGATCCTCATCCGCCTGACCTCGTCCTGCCGCGCACTAGACCCCATTCCACAAGCACCAACACTGGAGGCTTGCCCGTGTAGCGCGTCGCGACGACTTTCTTGGTAACAAGGGCTGCCCGCATTTCTCATTGTGTCCCTTCTTGGGCGAGGGCCTAGGTCGCTCGGCGCCAGGTTTTCGTCAAGGCTGTATGACCAAGACGAGGAGATCCAAAGCCCTGGCGCCCCGCCCCTCGCATCGCATCGCCGCCCCCGCGATATCATGCCCTTAGTCCATTCACCCGCTGACACGACCCCACGTTGTGCAACGCTGCGTCGTGAAGCCTCGACAGGTTTCCCGGTCCGACGACTCGATATGACGCGCTGAAACCACGCCTTTCGTCCGTCCGTCGTGGCCCGATGCAGTCTACTACCCCATTGCTGCTTTCCCCTCTTTCTTCCGCGGCCTTTTGGAATCCTTCATTTTTGAGTTGAATCTTTTGAGTTGGATCTCGGGACAGGTCTGTTGAGGGCCGGACTTCCGAAGTCTCCCGTTCGATGGCGGGCGGCGGCAAAATAGCTTCCCGTCGGGTCCCGGCGGGGTGGGTTTGGTGATGCAAGCCCCCCTTCCCCTCCCACTCCCCCTCCTCCTTCGCTGCCTGCCCGCACCCGCGAGCGGCCATGCTCAACCCGCCCACCTTGGTAGGCACCTCTCGGACGGACCTGACGGATTGGTGGGGGGCTTCACATGGACCACGACGCAGCTTCAGCGCGCCTTTCGTCCCAATATATTAACTCGACACCCCCCACCTACCTGCCTCGGTGTGGTAGGGATAGTAGGGCAACAAATACCTCAAACTGTGTTCGATTGCGTGCATACTTGCGTCGGTCCGAGGTACCTGTTGAGCCGATTTCAACGACATGCGTTCTGGGCGAAAACCGTGACTCTGTGCCATCGTGGGGAGGGTCCGGAGGAGGGTGTAGCCCTGGAAGCTAGTGCTCAACCTCTCACGCAAAGATGAACTCACGACAGGCCTGTGTGTGTGTGTCAGCATGCGAGGCAGGAAGATCCGCAGCAGAAAGGGAAGGGGAAGGGGCGGGGGCAAACAAACCTCCTTGAGGGTGTTCATCTTCTCCTGCGTGAGGGCGAAGACCTGCCGATACTGACCGATGTTCTGCTGAAGGACCTCTGCCTTGGAAGCGCGACCTTCGCATATGGCCTTCATCTGGGCCTCCATCTCCTTTCGCAGGAATGGCTTGCCGAGGCTGGTCTCCAGCTCCATCCGATCGAATCCCACAATGAGTGCCATGCCCAGTTTCGTCGGCACGAACACCTTGAGACGACCCCGTCCGCCGGAGGATGACGCCCCTCCGCGTCCTCCACGACCGCCTCGGCCTCTGCCTCCACGGCTGCTGCGGCCCCCTCTTGCCCCTCCTCTGGCCGGCGGTGACTCAACCTCATCGTCGTCGTCATCCTGTGCCGCTGGGCCTGTTTGGTCGATGAGGGCTGCGTACTCCCGATCCTGGATCTTCTGGATGTGTTCGGCCATGGTCGCGTCCGTGCCGATGCCGTTGATATCCATCAGCGCGATGAGATCGGCTTCCGTGAGATAGCTCGGCGGGCTGGTTTTGCCATCGGTCAGCATGGCCTCGGTGGGCTGGAAGACCTCGCCCACTCTGAACTTGGGCAGCTCCGTCGTGTCATTCCATTTCTCGTAGACGAACACGTCCAGATAGTTTCTCTCCAGCACATGTAACCCGTGGGCGTGAAAGCTCTCTTCACCGTAGAGAATCTCCACGTTCGTCGACACACCCTTTGCGTCATCCGAGCAGCAGGCCAGAAAACGACGTACAATGTATTCATACAGCCGTTTCGCGTCATGGGTCAGAACAGAAGGCGAAGCAAAAGTAACGGGGTGAATGGGCGGATGGGCTTTATCGTCATGCCGGCCTTGTCGGGGCTGACTGAAGCTCCCGCTCAAAAGGTCCTGGGCGTACTGTCCCCAGGCGTCGGACTGCGTCTGTTTCTGCACCAGGTTCCGCAAGTTGATCTCCTTGTCGAAACGATCCGTCTCGGTCCTCGGGTAGCTGATGAACCCCTTGTTGTAGAGGTCCTCGGCGACGCTCATGGCCTGCTGGCCGCTCATGCGCAGGAGACGTGTAGCTGCCTTTTGCAGCTCGACGGTCGTGAGCGGGAGAGGCTTCCACTTGCGCGTCGGCTTCTCCTGGACCTTGGTCACTTTTGCTGTTCTTGCCTGGATGCATCGCTCGTACAAGATGGTGACGGCCATGCGGTCGAAGAGACGGTTTCTTGACCAGGCAAACTTGACTTTTTTGCCCTCTTGGGTGTGGTTGACGTGGATGCTCCAGAATTGCTCCGGTACGAAGTTCTTAACCCGGAAGTATCGATCGACGACAAAGCCCAGTGTTGGAAATTGACAGGATCCTGGGTTCATCAGCAAGAGACGTCTTGAAGGTGGACTCGGGTGGAATGACCTACCATAGCTAATTATCATTTCAACAAGTGGTCCGCCGAGGTTCCTCAGGTTGGTGGTCAGGAACCGTGTAAAGGCATAACCGATCCGGAGGTCCAACTCCATTCGGGCGTCCACTGCATCTGCCTGACGTTCATCGAGATCCACCAGGTTCTTCGCCGCTTGTATGACATGACTTTCGAGGGTCAGCGTGGCGATGCAGCAAGCAGTTCTGATGGACAAGAGACATACGTTCTTTCAATGTTGCTGAACTTGGCTCGTTTGACGCGGATCGTCGGCTTTCCTTTTTTTGCCAGTCCAACGATTTCTCGTCCGATGTTTTCGCCCTCGCGATCGCAATCCGTCCAGATGATGAGGAGATCGCAGTAGCGTGCTTGTTGCTCGATGTTGTCGGCAACCGCCTTTTTGTCCTACGATGGTCTCAGCATGTTAGCCTTCACACTGGGAGGGAAAGGACGCCTACAGAAGCCACAGTCGTTACGATCGGCGCATGGAATAGCGAGTCTGGAGGGGGGTACTGCCAGTTCTTGTTGGCAGGGGTGAACTCCATGCCGAGAAGATGGCCGCGGACAGCTGTCATGGTGACGTCGCACTGGTTCCATGGTGGGCCGAAATTAAAGCTAAAGCAGTAGTTCTTGGTGAACCGGTCATTTGTGTTGCGCTGTAGGGAATTGACTTGTCAGAACGATGAGAGGTGACCGGATGGGATGGATGTGGAGGAGGGGGTTCTCACAGTCTGTGATTGCCCGCCAGACAGGTGATCAGTAACGGCTTTGGAGATGGACGGCTTCTCGGCCACGCAAAGAACCCGCATGATGAGTCGGCCAATCTCAAAAGGAGTCGAGAGCCTGTGATGGTCGAACAACGGTGACTGTCTGCGTGTGTCAAGAGCCGATGTGGTATCTTGGGCGTGACAAGCGAATCGTCGAGGGCATGGCGCGTCTCCCCTGCAAAACCACGGGGAGCAGACCAACGCTCCGGATCTACAAAGACGCCTTGCAATGACGCTCCTTCAGCCAAGCTGCAAAACTCTCAAGCACACAAGACAGCGTAGCGTGTTGCCGGCCCCATCTCAGTCCTCTCTCATAGGTAGGTACTGACTGGTTGAAGAATTATTTGCGGCAGACGTTGAGAATGGGGTCAGCACTCAATCAAGCACATCTAAGCATGGAGCCTATCAAACGCGACGATCCACATCAGATGGTCTGCGGGAAGCTGCAGGGGGAGTCCCCGCGTTAAACCTGAACGGGACTGAACGGCAGGGGTTCTTGCTCCAGGACATGGACCTGACAAGCCTGAGTCTATGACGCGGCGCCCGTATTGTACCTCCCTCGCCTGATGTCTGTCAGTTCTGCTCTCCTACTACATCAGCTGCCGCCGGAAGGACGGTAGCCTCTATCGCGATATTCTTGTTCCGCACTTCACATCGTCTCCTCTCAACAGCTCGACGAAGCACGACGCCCACCGAAAATGGACGTACCCGCCACTATTGCCGCGTTTCCAGCGGCGTTGCCGACGCTCCAGCGCATCGAAGACTGCGCCAACTGGACCCTCACCGTCAAGCCATTCATTCCCCAGCTCTTCGAACTCCCGAACCAGGTCCTCGAAAACATTGCCAGTCCCGCCGGCCTGCGCCAGCTCTACACCGAGACCAACCCCCTGATCTCTGGCTTTGCTGCCTCTCTGGCATTGTCCGTCATTTTCGCCATCGCCGCCGAGATCAACCGCAACTACTCCCAGGTCGACCGAGCGTGGAGTCTGCTGCCCAACCTCTACGTCGTTCACCTGGCTGTCTGGGCCAGGCTTGCCGGTATCGACGCCTCGAGGGTTGAATTCCTCTGCTCAGCCACTACGCTGTGGAGTGTACGTTACAAGAGACTTGGATCCTAATGGAAGCTAGTACTGACGAGCTCGATACAGGCCCGTTTGACCTTCAACTATGCTCGCAAGGGTGGTTACAATGTCGGAAGCGAGGACTACCGATGGTACATGCCCCTGCGACGAGGCAGAACGAGCGCCTGCTGACTTGAACCCAGGGAAATCGTACAGAAATACGTCCCGCACTGGGTCTTCTTCATCTTCAGCATTGTCTTCATCGCCATCTACCAGAACATCCTCCTCTTCGCCTTCTCCTGCGCTCCCGCCTACGTCATTCTCCTGACCACCCAGTTCGAGAGGGAAGTGGGCGCCTCCGACTGGGCGTACTGCGGCATCATGCTGGCCCTCGTCCTGTCCGAGTACATCAGCGACGGCCAGCAGTGGGACTTCCACGCCGCCAAGCACAAGTACCAGAAGAGCGCCCAGGTCTCTGGCGGCTTCACCCAGGCCGACCTTGACCGAGGCTTCCTGACCAAGGGCCTCTGGGCCCACTCCCGCCACCCCAACTTTGCCGCCGAGCAGCTCGTCTGGTTCATGCTGTACCAGTGGAGCTGCTACGCCTCGCGCACCCTGTTCAACTGGTCCTTCGTCGGGTCTGGCTCCCTGATCCTGTTGTTCCAGGGCTCTACCTGGCTCACCGAGCTCATCACGACCGGCAAGTATGTCGACTACAAGCACTATCAGAAGAACGTCGCCATGTTCCTGCCCACGTCTCTCTCGGGTTACAAGGCGCCACCGCCGACTGCGAACAGCACGTCCGAGAAGCGCAACGGCAAAAAGTGAGGGAAGCATGGATGAATGAATGGCATCACGACACTACGGCTTATACGTCTCGATACGTCTTGGAGAATACTTTGTCGACTGTCCGCTCATGTTTTGCATCTATGTAGAATGCATCTAGATAGCTCTAATGTCTAACGTCAAGCATCAAGCCAAGCATCAAGCATCATCTCCACTTGCTCGTGGCTTTTTTCGTTGTGAAACAAAAAAAGCAAATCACTCGATCCTGAGATCCCGGATGCCATCGACGAAGTAGGCCGGCACGGCCACGGCATCCTCGGCCTCCCAGTCGGCCTTTGTGTTGACGCCAGTCAGCACAGCCAGCGTGCCGCCGAGCTTGCCCTCGATGCCAAACTTGATGTCCGTGTTGAGGCGGTCGCCAATCATGCACGTCCTCGCGCGGTCGAGGTGGAAGCGCCCCGTCACGGCATCCATCATGGCCTGGCTCGGCTTGCCCAGCTCGAGGGGCTGCCTGCCGATCATGTTGACGAGGGGCACGCCGACGCTGCCGGCGCCGGGGAAGAAGCTGCCGTTCATGGGCAGGGTGCTGTCGCAGTTTGTGGCGAGGAAGACGGCGCCGCGGCGCAGGTACTGGTAGGCCGTCGCCAGCTTGAGGTAGTTGACGTGGAAGTCGAGGCCCGCGAGCACGACGCCGACCTCGGGGTCGAGGGCCGAGCCGTCGGCGAGGGCGGCAAAGTCGGCGGGCGTCACGTCGCGGCGCAGGCCCGGGTCCGTGCCGCCGACAAAGGGCACGTTCTCGGCGCGCAGCTCGTCCTCGATGCCCGACTCGCCGAGCACGAAGACCTTGGGCTTGTCGGCGGGCCGGCGCAGGATGCGCGAGATGTAGATGGACGCCGAGTAGGCCGAGCCGAAGACGTCCTCGGGCGTGCACTTGATCGAGAGCTTCTGGAACTTCTTGTGGTAGTCGGCGCGGGACTTGGTCGAGTTGTTCGTCACGAAGATGGTCCGCTTGCCTGCTCGTCTCGTCATGTGAGTTGCGATGTTGGACCCTGGAGCTGGAGAGGGGGGGAGCGGCCCCATGGAATGACGGACCTTGGGAGTGAAGATAGTCGATGGCCTCGGGGACGCCGTCAAAGAGGTGATCGCCGGACCAGAGAACGCCTGTAACCTCATTGGTGAGTGATCAGAGGGGCCGTGAGACTTTTATGAGGCGTACCATCGCAATCGATGAGGAACGTCTGGGGATGAGGTCAGCAAGGTCATCGAGTGAGACGGGGAGGGGATAATCGCGCACGTCGAACTTGTTCAGGAACTCCTGAAGGGCGGCCTTGTCGCCGCTGAGGTACTTTGAAGACATGATGGCGGATTTTGCAAGGCGGTTGTGTGTTTTGGATGAGATGGTAAGAACGAGGCTGGTGTTAGTGAGATGTATTGTGGATGAGTGTCGTGCAGGCGTGAGCAGGATTAGTCACGTCATGATGGTCCCCGTTCGGCTTTCTCTCCGGGTGCGGTCCCCATCTACAGCCGACGTACACCTCGCCGTCTGGTCCTGGGTGTTTTGGGACAAGAAATTGACAATGAGTTCTGTTTTACGATGCTTCATGACATGCATGGGATCGAGTCGATGGGTTGAGTTCTGGTAGACCATGATGCCGCACCTCACATGGGAGCTAGGTAGAGCGGGTCAGTACTTCAACCTACCCCTCAACACCAGATGGTCGGGAGTTCATGCTATGGAGTCTCCCATGGCATGGGTGACTACATGGTCCTTGTGAACATGGAGCGAGCAACTGGACTTCTGCTTCGTCATTGGCATGACACATTTGCAACTGAACATGACCTTCCCTACCTCACCTTACCTTACCTAGTTAGGTAGCTTGGTAGGTAGCTTGGTAGGTAGCTTGGTAGGTAGCTTGGTAGGTACCAAGGCAGGTAGGTAGAAAGGGCTGGCTGGCCAACATCACAGGCAAGAAGGTCAACCAACGACCCCTGCCAATCCCGCACCCTGATTCACCGACGCTCACCGTTGACTGGCCCCTGCCTTCTCACCCGCATCCCCAACGCGCGAGCCACCTTCCCCGCGTGGGGGAACGCCCACCTGCCGTCTCAGTGGTGACCTCGTACTCAAGCCCTTCACGTAACGGTTCACTTTCGACCACCCAAGGCACACCGAGCCCAGGTCCGGAAGTTGTGGGAGGTTGTGGAATGGTGCCGGGCGACCTTGTGCGTCCCTGGTCACACCACAAGCACCTCACCTCCACCACCCCACGCGAGCCTGGGCCAAAGCCATACAGTAACCCGGCTGACCCTGCCAACCCTTAAAGTTCACGAGTTACCTGCCTGGTTCCTCTTCCCGTCAGCCTTTGACTTTTGACCTTTCATTTCTAGTTTGATTGTACTTCTTCCGATAGCTCCGATACCTCTCGCTGTCAGCCCTTTTCTATAACGCAGTTCGCTCCCAGGCAAACCCTCTTCCTCACTTCTCCCCGTGCCTCACCACATACCGACCATTTCCCACGATCAATCAAACGGCAAAGGAACCGCAAAGGAACCGCAAAGGAACCACAATCGCCAGAAGCCATCGAACACCATCACCAACGTAAACATGACCGTATCCTCCCAGTCCGTCGACTTCCACAGTCAGCCCTCGGCCGCAGCACCGCCCACCACCGTCACCATCCCCCCCCTCACACCGACGTCGGGCTCGACCTCGTCCACAGACCCCTCGCCCACCACCACCTCGCCCACCCTCGCAGACCACCGCCCCTCAATCGCAAAGGCCTACACGGCCCCGCCCCCGCTGGATCGCCAGTTCCCCAAGCCCCCGTCCGACATTGACCTCACCGAGGCCCTCCGCCGCGCCCCCGGCCGCTGGACCATCCAGGGCAGCATCAGCGCCAAGGAGGCCGCGCCGCGCCAGCCGCGCGCCGATCGCGACATTGAGCAGCTCAAGGCCCAGCGCGTCATCGACCTCGAGACTGCCAAGGCACAGCTGTTCGCCTACAGCGACAGCATGCAGGAGGAGGTCGTTGCGCGCGAGAGGCTGCGTCGGACGCAGAGCATCGCCAAGAAGACGGCTTAGATACCAGCACACGGGACTAAGATGTGCGACTCGTACCAAAAAAAATCAAAATCTAAAAAACTGAAAGCCCAGTTCCAAAACGGAATTCGGACGCTCGATCCTTTGAGAAATGGCGTTACGCGAGTGAGGCGCAGCGGAGAGGACATGATCAACGACAGGCGACGACGGACGGAGTTCTTTATGCAGGGTTCAGCAGTTTTAGTAAAGAGAGATAGTGTACAGTACCAATGAAATTTCTCAATGTCCCATGACAAGCGGCTCACGCCCCCCCTCGTGACACATATATCTAGATATATATATATAGATATATATATATATATATATCACAGCTCCTTCGGCACAGATGGCAGTCGCGAGACATGTCCCGAGCAGCCGCCTCTACGAGAGGCGCGATCCCAGCGTGAACCCGTAGGCGATGGTCGCGATGAACGTGCCCAGGTTCAACAGCGACGAGATGCCGTGCATCTTGCCGAAGCGCTTGTTCAGCGCCTGCATCTCCTGCGAGTGGGGCGCCGGATCGTAGCTCTTCTTGCCGTCCTTCTTCTCTGTTCTGCTGTCAGTCGTCTGCTTTCTCGTTGCACCCACGGGGCGGAGAGGCGGGTGAGGGGGCATGCGTCAGACCTTGGGCGTAGCGGGCAGCCATGATCTTCTGCGTCGCAGGCAGGACCACCAGCAGGTTGACGGCGGCGGTGACGAAGATCGTGGCAATGGGCAGCAGGGTGCCGCGGAAGTTTGATTCGTCGAGAAGTCCGCCGAGGCCGGAGGCAACGCCAAGCGGGTTGCTGCTCCCGGGGTAGGTCAGGGCGAGGATGGCGGGGAGGGCCGTCTGCAGGGCGAAGTAGATGGGGAAGAGGGCATTCTGGGCGGCCGAGAATGAGGGGCGCTCGAGCACGCGGAACATGGTGATGCCATTGACGAAGGACTGAAGGGTCAGCAGAGAGCTCGGCCGTCAGATCTTAAGCAGGCGCCTACGTGGAAGAAGGTCGTTCCTAGGAGCGTGCCGTAGCTGTTGATCGTTAGCGCCAGTGAGACTCCTGAGTTACTGCGAGCAGGGGCTCGCCTACGAGATGATGTGGTACGGTGCCGGGGAAAAGAAGATGGAGCCCGCCATTTTCGACACAGAAGCAACGAGGGTGCACTGTTTTGGTAAGCTTGTGTTGTGTGAAGGCAGAGAGAAGACTATGACATGAGGCGCTTAAGATAAAGTACCTGTTCTCATGAGAGCAAGTTGTAGTCGTCAACACTCCATGGTCCGATACGTCACGGCAGTTGAGGTCCCCACTGCTGCGGGTCATGCCTAATTAGTAAGGCAGGCCAGACACAGGGCGGCTACAAGGCACGGCCACAGGGCAGGCCATGCCATTCGGATCACTCACTTACCTGAACACCTCTACACGAACATCATCAGGGCTCACGTAGTGGAGGACGTGAAGGCGGAGTTGGGCAGTAGACGCTAGTCACATTTCCCGATCATCTCTTCAAGGCGAAGCGAGCGACTTTAGGTGATGGGGCAACACAAGTGATCATGCCATACTCGGACGCATTCATGTAGGAGGTACTTTCGGCCTGGTATGTAATAAACCAAAATGCACAATTTTTTTTATCTGCATATACCTCTGGCGAGCACTTTCGCATTGGCGCTGTGCTCGCCTCACGCCCCTGATCCCAATTGTCTTCCCATATACTACAAGCAGCGCCACAAGAAGGTTATCTGTCTTGGACCGGTGTGGGTCATCCCGACGTTTGTCCAAGAATGGCCATGGTCGGACATCAACCACAGAGAGAGCTCGCGGCTAAGCTCCTATGAGAGCGACCATACTTGAAGTGGTATTTTCGAAGCGTCCCAGTGATGCAGTAGCGGCATGCGGCGTCGCTGGCACAGGCCTCTTTCTTGTACCTGCCAGAGCCACTTTTGCTGAATCTGGTCTGGCAGTCGTCGGGTTCAATGCCGATAGCCTGGTTCTCAGTACGCTCCATTCATCGCCCCGAAATCGACCTGAGCCACTTGGTCCTCTATGCAAACCTCAGCCATCTATCACGGTCAACGGCTGGGGGTTTCAAAGTGGTGTTGGAAGTATTGCCGCCCCGAGTGATTCTCGCTTCAACCACTTGCGTCTGATGCGAGGAGATCCTTCTTCATGAACGAATGAGTCAAGAGGTCTGCCATCAGGCTCCGTCCATCGGGATGTGTTACGATCATCTTCTTGATCGGGTCAAGGAAAACGTCGCTCTCCTCATCATACGCGTGCCTACACGACCTTCGGTTCGCCTCACGCGCTTCCCAGGCTTGAGACCGGTCAAAGAAGACTAGACCTGGAGACTGTTAGTTTCTCCATTGCAGCGAAGAAGAAATATCAGATGGAACGCACCATTTCCATCGTGGTGATCCCGCTTCTTAATTGATGATTAATTCATTGTAGATGGGGCGAGTGTGAGTAAAAAGGAGAGCGTGACGGCAAATACTTCGAGACCAAACAGCATGCATCAAAACCAGCCCATAAGTGAGCGGTCAGAATCCAGAACACCCAACACCCAATGGCCGGGAACCGCGCTTGCGTCAATGACCAAAACCCTGCCATTGATCGATTCAAACGATTCACTTCCCACGCGATGAGTAAACCATTCACACCAAAAGAGGCCGCAATCTAGCTGATAAGTAGGCTTGTCTATTTATCTACATTCTTCAGCCGCCAGAGGCTGCGCCGCTCCATCCATGAGTGCTACTTCTTTGATACAGTAGCGTCACAAGCTACCTGGTGAAGACACACAGCTGCCCGGCGGAACCGCAATCATGGTGAAGAGGTGGTGGTCCCTTTTAAGCAACGCGCGCACCTCAACGGGTGCGGAGAAGGTCGCGCAGTCGATCAATGGAAATACTTCCCAGGCCTGTCCATACATCTGACCGAAAAAAATGGCACCCACCTGCTGCTCGCGCGGAAGCGAGCCTTAACTCGCAGTATTTCGTAGCGCTGCCGTCAGTTTAAACCCCTTATTGCAATAGTTCGCGGTTGGGAGAGTACTCTGTATGAGGCAAAAAAGGGGTGGTTCAACGAACGTGAGGGACCTTGTCGTTGTCGTATTGCCTGGCTCGCGAAAGAGAATGGTCGAGTTCGACGAGCTTGGCCATCTCGCGCGCTGGCCGTACATGAACTAATTAGCTCAGAGCAACCAGGTAAGGCAAGTCGGGGCGACGTAGCCCGAAAGAGCAAGCTTCGGTTTCGGTTTCGGGGTGGCAGGGGAATCCGCAGGGATGTCGGGAATACGAGGTTCCAGTACTTGGTAAACCACACCTTGGTACCTCTCGAATGCAAGGCTCTCGCCCCTCCAACACCGTATACCACGGACTAATACATGGCGAAACTGCGTCGGACTAACTCATATTGATTCGCTGCCACTTGCCACAGGCAGCACAGCTTGGCTTGGAGTGGTCCTTTCCGGAAATTTGGGTTGCAGGGTCTCTTACTTGACAGGCGTGCTGTGGGGATGAGCTGAACTAAGGCTTGTTTGTTCATGCGACTGCAAGATGGAAGCTTGGCGCGCTTTCATGATGAACAACCCAAGAACCCCAGGACAGGGCACATTCATGGTCTGCACTGGCAAACAAGCTTCGATGAAGCTAGATAAGCTTAAACCGCAGAAACGCTAGAATCTTGGTTGACCGCGGAAAGTCCCCCCCAGAAGCCGCGCAACTAACGAGACCCCATTCAACAAGCCCCGAAGCAGTTGACACAACAGCATGGCAATTTGAGGGCGTCGCCGAATGCTCCATTCGCGGAAAGAGGCGTCTCCACGACTAAAGTGACTAGCCAGGGCTGGAGGTGGCGGGGGCGGGGGGTTCGGTCAGGCATCTAGTCCCCTTGGTAGGTCAAATCAGGGATCGCCTTGATCGAAATGCTCAGGAATCTCAAGCCTCGGCCGCCGCCCTATGTTTAACACACGGATCTTGCGTGCTCCTTTTGTCCATCAGTAATCTGGGGAAGCGATGTCCCGCAGCTTGGCCAGGTACCGCTCGAATGGGAAGCTCACTGCCGATCAAGTGAATGCAGTGCCATGTCTGCATAGGGCGCGCTTTTAAATCTGACAGCTGGGTTTCCGTATTGCAACAATCAAGATCAGTTCCACCAATCTACATTCTAGCCGAGGATACGACCCTGCCTGACAGATTTGATCCAGGGCCTCAGAGGCACACACCGTCTTCGCTCCTTCGGGGGGCCGGTCGGTTGGCCCCGTAGCTTGTTCGAGGTAGATCAATGGAATAATGCTCCGCCAATGGAGATCCATGATTCTGGGCAGCGCATCCAATCTGGGCATGGTGGCCCGTGATTGACGGAGGCGATCTCGCATCGGGGCATGTTCTTGAGCGGACTTCCAGCGTCAAGAGAGTCGTCTAGTACCTCGAACTCCGCGGCATTGTGTCAGGCATGATGGAGCTGGAGTCCACTCCGGAAACCTCTTGGATATAAAAAAGGATAGACAAGAACTGGAGGCGGCTGGCGGTACTCGACTTCCTGATCAACTGCTTTTTAGAGTGGATTGTTCCTGATCTGTCACTGCCTTGTCAATATGAAGTTCTCCACTGCCGTCGCCGCCGCTGGCATGTCCAGCCTCGTTTCCGCGCAGACTCTGAACATTCCCACCCGGACCGGCAACATCATCTCTCTCCCCCGGCCTTCCTACATTTCTGGCGCCAAGGACTTCAACAACCAGGAGTTCGACCGCGGTCGGAGCTGTGAGTTCGGTCTCGACCTCGGTGTCAACGAGCCAGTCTTCATCTTGGAGAACGGCGCTTCCATTAGCAATGTAAGCCCAGAACAAATGAAGCAGACTACCAAATGAGAGGCTGACAAGCCTTGCGCCTTGACAGGTCATCATCGGTGCTCGACAGGTTTATGGCGTGAGCTGCAAGGGTAGCTGCACATTGACCAACGTCTGGTTCCGCGATGTTTGTGAAGGTGAGCCCGCGCCCTTTGGTCTGCCTCTACCTCTCGGCAGCCGGACTGACCTGTCGACCCCATACAGATGCCATCGCTGCCCTCGGAACCGGTGATGTCCTCGTCAAGGGCGGTGGTGCCCGCAACGGTGCCGGCGACATCATCAGACACAACGGCCGCGGCACTGTCACGGTCGACAGCTTCACCGTCGTCGACTCGGCCAGGCTCTACCGCAGCTGCGGCGACTGCTCCAACAACGGCGGCCCGCGCAACGTTGTCGTCAAGAACGTCAAGGTCTCTGGTCTGAAGTCGGAGCTTGTCGGCATCAACTCGAACTTTAATGATGTTGCCACTGTGTCTGGGTCGTGTGGTACCTCCAGCAAGGTGTGCCAGGAATATCGTGGAGTCGCGAAGGGATCGAGCAGCTATAAGGTCACCACCACGGCCAACTGCCAGGGTGCGCAGGGCAAGCTGGCCAACCTTCCTGCTTGTTAAATGCGATCATGTGGCAGGGCACTTGCCAGACATGGCCGGTTTCGGGCTGTCCGACTTTTGTGTCATAGCTAGAAGATCATCCCTCACGCCAAATGACGGCTCTGTGAATGGACAGACATGCAGATGGTCACAAATGTCATCACAAACATACCATGTCCTCTTCTTCTCCGCCTTCAGAACATTGAGTCCCTGGTGCTAGGGTTTCATGGGCCCACTCCGTCGCTGGACTGCCGATCTGTCATGGCCTTGAAGATGCATATTTCAGCAAATAGCAGCTCCGGGCGGTGACTGGCAGGTGGCCTTTTCCGAGTTGCATCGCAAACAGAACCACGCCGTGCGTCAGGTGATGGTTTGTGCCGGAATGCGTGTTTCCATGAAGAGACATGAAGTCAGTGCATGAGGCTGAATGACGAAATATCCGAAGCGTCAACTACATTGTGGGAAGAGTCGGACTTGATTACTTCTGATCCCGACTGACTGACCCAGAGATTCCCCAGATTCGGTACTGTGACCGCCCCCCACCTACCATGCTTGGGCTGGGGGCTCTGCACTGCAAATCACTTGGGTCCCTAGGTACCTCAACAGTGCCGTATCGAGCATTGGAGAACATGAGTGTCCCAAAATTGCCGCAACTCAACAAACCGGCCAGGTGGTGGAGTGGTTAACACGTACCCCTGCTAAGGGTATCTCTCCGGAGGCGCAAGTTCGAATCTTGTCCTGGTCGATTTCTTTTGCCAATTTGGTTCATTGTCGATGTAATCTTTAATAATTTTGGTGCCGAAGTTACGAAGTCGAACAGTGAGCTGCTGGACTGAATATGGTCGAGGACTCTTTGTTGGGTTCCCCGCGACGCCGGATCACGTGGCACCGTGTTGAACACAGAACACAGGCGCGACATGGGCTGCGCTAGACGTGTCGCAGGGGCCATCTCATCACTCAGACTCAGCTCACTCGCACCCCAGCCAGCCCGTTGTCTGCCTAAAACGTCTGGTCAGTACAGGCGACTTGCTGCCTGCAGCTGTATGCTTCCATGTCATAGACATTTTCTTCGATAGGTGCTGGGACTCATACCCTCTGCATTTCTCGCCATTCTTTTCACCATTTTCTTTTTGCAACCTTCACGCACGCATTCGCCATGGCCGACAAACAGGCCACTGTCTTCATCGTCGACCTCGGCTCGTCAATGGCCGACTGCCACAATGGTCGCATCGAATCCGACCTCGACTGGAGTATGCGCTATGTCTGGGACAAGATATCAACCGTCGTTGCAGCCTCACGTAAAACATGGACCGTTGGTGTTGTCGGTCTTAAGACCGACGAGACGCGACACCTCCTCCAGGATGAGGAAGGCTACGAGAACATCTCTATACTGCAGGAGATTGGCCCCATGTCCATGAACTCACTCAAAGAGCTGCAGGACGTCATTGTGCCCTCTGAAACGCACACTGGAGATGCAGTGTCGGCCATCGTCATTGCCGTGGACATGATGGAGAAATACACCAAGGCGCTGAAGTATGCACGAAAGATATATCTCATCACTGACGGCACGGGTCCCATTGATGGAGATGACTTTGAAGACATTACGAAAAAGATCAACCACGACGGTATCGAGCTGATTGTACTGTGAGGCATGCCAGCCATGACACCCCCGTTTCCAGACTGACAGCCGTAGGGGTGTGGATTTTGACGACGCGGAATACGGATTCAAGGAAGAGGACAAGCCAAGTCTGAAGGCAAGTCAGCCCCGACCACACTCTGACGAGTCTGGCACTAACTCTTTCCTCAAGAAAGAGAATGAACGCCTTCTCAAGGACCTCGTGTCCAAATGCAAGGATGCCCAGCTGGCCACCATCGCCGAAGCCATTGACGAGCTGGACACGCCCCGCCTCAAACCCGTGAGGCCCTACAAGTCGTACGACGGCCCGTTGACTCTCGGCGATGTCAAAGACCCCAAGCATCCCTCACCCATGGTTATCAACGTCGAGCGCTACTTCAAGACGAAACTGACCAGGCCACCCCCCGCGTCCACCGTGGTGCTGAGGACAGAGCCTGGCCCCTCACAGGCCGCCGAAGGGGAGGGCATGGAAGGCGTCGAGTCATCGCTGAACTTCGGCGCCATTCGACAAGCTCGCTCATACAAAGTCAACGACCCGGATGCACCCGGTGGCAAGCGAGACGTCGAGTTCGACTCCTTGGCGAAGGGCTACGAATACGGCAGGACTGCGGTCCATATCAGCGAGTCGGAGTGGAACATGACCAAGATTGAGACCACCAAAGCGTTCGAGATTGTTGGTTTCATCCCGGCCGACAAAGTGAGCCGAAATCTCATTAGTACCCATTGCCGCCGAACGTACTGACAAGCAGCCTCAGTTTGAACCCTTCCTCAGCATGGGCGAGAGCTGTATCACAGTGAGCCGCAAGCACGACGACAAGTCGCAGCTCGCCCTATCCTCGCTCATCCACGCCCTTTACGAGCTCTCTTCCTACGCTGTCGCGCGCATTGTCCTCAAGGATGGAAAGGAGCCGCAACTCATCCTCCTGGCGCCTGGCATCGAACCCGACCTGGAGTGCCTCTATGATGTCCCTCTCCCTTTTGCCGAAGACGTCCGCAGCTACCAGTTCCCTCCCCTTGATCGCGTGGTCACAGTCAGCGGCCAAACTCTGACGAAACATCGCCTGATCCCTGATGACGAGCTGAACGATGCCATGAGCGACTTTGTCGACGCGATGGATCTGGACACGTTTGTGAAGGACGAAGATGGGTAAGCTCTTCGCAACAGAATGCCATGACTTCCACAGATCTGACGCAAAAGACAGAGGAGAACCCACAGAATATGCCCCCATCGACGAATCCTATAACCCGGCCATCCACCGTATCAACCAGGTCGTCCGCGATCGCGCCATCAAGCCGACAGGCGACATTGAGCCCATCCCTCGCGTCCTCCTCCGCTACGCCGAGCCACCAGAAGATCTCCTCACAAAGGCAAAGGCTGACATGAAGGCTCTCATCAAGGCAGCCGAAGTCAAGAAGGGTACGCTCGCGCACCCGTGGCCCTCCCCCCCAACCCCACTGGACACATCCACTGACACGCTCGCAGTTCCTCCCAAGGCAAAGAACAAGCGCAACCGCGATGCCGCCAAGCCTCTGTCCGGCCTCGACATCGATGCACTTCTCGGCTCTCTCCCGAAACGCGCCCGTCTTGTGTCCCGTGACAATGCCGTTCCCGAATTCAAGCAGGCCTTGACGAGCGCAACCGACGTTGCTGCGATTGAGGAGGCGGCATCCCAGATGGGCGAGGTCATTCGCGGCCTCGTCACTGACAGCTTTGGCGATGCGGAGTATAACCGTGCCATCGAAGCGCTCGGCGTCATGCGCACGGAGCTCATTAACATGGAGGAGCCTGCGATGTACAACGACTTCGTCAAGGACTTCAAGACGAGGTTGCTCGCGGGGGAGTTTGGGGGTGATCGGAGGGAGATGTGGTGGCGTGTGCGGACAGGACGACTGGGTCTGATCGACTCGGCGCAAAGTGAAGTGTCTGAGGTCACGAGCGAACAAGCTGCTGAGGTAAGTTTCCAGTTCTCTCGTTGCAATACAAGCGCTGCAATCTGGTCAAGTTTGTCCCTTCTATTACTAACTTTTGCGTAGTTTCTCAAGTCCAAATAGACCTGTATTTGCTGAGTTTTCTTTGCTTTTTGGGGTTATTTGCCCTCAATTGTACGATCAGAGAGCGGATCGGTTAGCTATGAGTACCTATAAGAAGCCATCGCGAGGGTATCACCTCCCTTTCACCATCTCTCACTCCTGCCCTCGTGAAATTTCTCAGCAAAGTCAACCCTCTTGTCGGCCATATCAGTGACTGCCTCCGAATTCTCTCCATCTTCAAGTTGCTGTTCATCTATACGAGCGCGGACAGCCAAAGCAAGCATAGCCTGAAGCGTGTACGCAGCGTCGTTTCCAGCATTATGTAGGTTGCGAGTAGGGATCTCGAGGTCACCACAGACGGCGCCGAGGTTGCAGCCCGATGGACAGCTGCGCCAGGCCTGGTGCATGTCCTTTGTGTCGGCACAGCCTAGGAATCCCGGAAGCTGGCCAGGGTTGACATCAATATCTTGGAGGTAGTTGAGGTCAGCGGCAATGTCATGCCCGACGAGGATAAGAGTGCGATTGCGCTGCATCGGATTGGATGCCGGGGCAGCTGTATGCTGTGCGAGGAGAGCGCGGACTCGTCCAGTGAGCTCGCCAAGTCGAGGAGTTTCGCTTGTTCTGCTAAGGTCAGCCGAGGTTCGCGGCATTCAAAGTAACACGCCTCACCCAAAATTGAAGGCATCAGGACAGCCATGACAGTATTTGTAGTTGCGCTGAAATCGAGTCTCGTACACGAGAAGATGATGGTATTCGATCAAAGAGCTCCAGTTCTGGGCGTTGATGCCAGGAGGTACGTTGACGACCTCTCGCGTATCAAGGATGGAAATGCCCACCTCGAGAATGACGCTGTGGGACTCCTCGGCAACCTCAATATCAACGGCCGCGAAGACTGCATCCAGCTCGCGGTCATGAGGGATGACTTGCTCGATGTCCACCTGACGCGCGCTGACGCCAGCTACGGGACGAAGACCAAGCATGCGTTGGACCGACCGGATGCCGTCCAGACGCCGCATATTGGCTTCCTCGCGGCGCTTGGCATTCTTCTCCTTCTTTGCCTCCTTTTTAGCGAACTTGAGTACATGGAGCTTGCGGACGAGGTCGTCTATGACGGCTTCAGAAACGCCTTTGCCAACATCGTCGTCATGATGAATAGGAGTTTTGAGGCGAATATTAGTGAAATCAGACTCGCAAATAGAGCGGCCAAGAAAACGGGGGCGTGGACTGCAGCCTTCGCCGAATTTGAGGTGGAACTTGCTCCCCGGCGCGCCTGGTGGTATGGTCAGGCGAATCCCCGCAAGAGCGTTGACGATGCGAAGAAAGTGCTCAAACTGCACGGTGGGCACGAAGAGCTTGGGAGCTTCTTCGAGGGATCTTGGGTTGTAAAGATAGAAGCTTTCAATGTCAGTCTCTTTTGATGTCAAGATTGTAGAAGAAGCACTGTTTGCTTACAAGTCCCACGTATTGCCCTCGAGAATGTCCTCAAAATAGGGTTCGGCCTGATTGGTGTTAGAACTTCATCAAGGCAACTTCCTAACTTCCTTGAGACCCAACCATACCCTTGGACGGTTCGCCTTCCCGATGTACATGGCAGGGTATGTCGTGGCCAACTCCCAAGGTGTGAAGGGTAAGCTCATGGCAAACAACTCGCCAGCTTTCAGGCCCTTGAACTGGTCGAACCCTTCGGTTCGCAGTTGCTGAGCCATTACTTCGCTTGGATCGCTTGTCGTGGGAGGAGTGTGGTTGAAAGGCTCGCTGGGTAAGCCTGGTACGTGGGTCGTCTTGGCGTTGGACTGTTGCTGATCGAAAGCCAGATGTTGGGCAACGTAGTCCAGGTCGATGAAGGGGGGGTCCGTATAAGCAATAGGAGAAACGTTGCCGCTGACACAGGGCTGCTCAAGCCCAAGAAAGGTGTGTAGTAGCTGCCTTCTACGGGCTGAGTTGTATGCCATCTCGGAAAGTACAACCACCTGACCAAGCTGTATCTCAAGTCCTGGGTTATAAGTCTGTCTGCCTTGATCAGCGAAGTGAAATGGCGTTTGTAGAAGGGGCAGAAAACAAGCTGGGTAGTTACAAAACTGCGCTTTGTTTGATGGCCGGGTCGAAGAACGTCTCGAAGGTTGGTAAGAACAAGAGAATACTTGTCTAAGGTACCTACCTACTTACCTAGGTAGGTATCTAGGCAGGTAGGTAGGTACCTTACCTTTGGAGGACTTTTTGCCGAACTGCCCAAAGTGAATCAGTTGAATGGGTGGTGCCTGCCCAACAATCCGTGAACAAACGAAAAGGGATGCTTGGTGCATTGGCACCGCTTTGCAGGCCTGCAGCAGAATGATGAAGTCACCTTGCGTCCCGTCAAGCCGAGACCAAAGAGATTCATGAACACCATACAAACCTCCCCATTCAACCCTGGAGCCTATTTAGCTCCCTGATCTACACAACGAGCACTACCAGCACCTGACGCTACCATTCTTGAAGCTGACACAAACTGGCCTGCCACTTGTTCTCAACATGCGCAAAAGGGGCATTCGTGTGCTTCGGTCGAGTCCAGCCCCAAGAGGTTCATTGTCAGGAGTGTAAGCAACAAGGCTGGATAGCTTCGGGCATTCCGTGCCATTTCGAGCTTGAGATGATGGGCTGAGATGGCGTAGCATGGCACGCTCTTGACAACAGACACAGACACAAGTACAAGACAAAACGTAAAGGCTCGTAAGTGGTGAGGAGAGAGACATGCCCAGCGCGTGGGTCTTTACCGTCGCATTACGATTTCGTCCATCCTAACACAGATTGAAGCGTAACAACGACTTCTTCCAAACGCCAACGCTATGACAAAATATCCTGTTGTACATGTACACGCAGCCCATTGCTGCCTCTCAGGCGTCGCATGCCGAGCACCTTCTGTGGCTGGTCATTCTCTTCAAGACGCTGTCTTCTCCAGAAACTCTTTCGCTTCGTTGACCTTGGTCGCGAGGTAGGGGCTGCCGCCGCGATCGGGATGATTGAGGAGCATCAGGGTTCGGTGGGCCTTGCGGATCTTGTCCTTGGTGATGGCGCGCTCGCTGGGGACATGTCAGCTCACAGTTCATTTTCGACATCGGAAAGGTGCCGTACTTGAGGGACAGAATGAGAGAAGCCTCCCGCTTGTTCATCTTGGGCTCGAAGCCACCCTTGTAGAAGGCCTTGCCCATTGCGCCCACGCCGCCGCGCGAGCGTCGCCATGCGACGAGACTAGCCCGACCCTGTGAGGCATGTCAGTACATGCAGAGCGGCTGATTCGAATCGGACGGACAAACCAAGAAGGCCGCGACGGCAATACCAGAGCCCCAAGCAAGTGCGGACGCCATTTTGATGTTGATGATGGTGGTGATCCTTACTTTACAGAAAGCCGGACGAATGTGGTGTTTCCGTCTACGATTGCCTCGCCTCGCCTCGGGTTGAACCGCAGACTGGAGCCAGAGTTTTTCTCGGACCGGAGTTCAGCCAGCTTGGGTTGGCCACCCAGCCACGACGAGCAAGCCTCCACTGCCGCCAATCAGAGGCTTCTCAGTGCACGTTTTCTCCATTAAGCCACAATGAGGGTCCAGTTCCCGATAAGCGATAACGAAAAACTTCATCCGTGGGAGGAACACAGTGCAGTAGATTGTCTTGTCTCCGCGACAATCACCAGGTTTGCCCCCTCGACAACCTGCACCCAATCCGACGGCAAACGAAGACCTTGTCCCTCAGAGCTGCGAGGCAACACGACGATCCGGGTGTTTTTGTTCTTTTGCGACGCTCAGCGCCCCTCTCGCTCGCCGATCCGACTTCCGTTTAGCATTGTCGACCTTGCTTCACCGTCAAGATGAGGTGTGTTACGGTAGCTTCAACTTTTGCGGTGGAGCTTGTCCTGACGTTCAGAAAAGAGTAGAGACTTGTTACTTCTGCAGTCGCCCTGCCTACCCGAGCAAAGTACGACCCGCCTCCCTCAGTCGCAAGCAATCAATACACCTCCCCTAAGGATGCTGCGACAAATAACTTGGCATAACGTCAAATACTGATACATGCTGCAGGGTATCACCTTTGTTCGTAACGATGGCCGCTCCATGAGGTTCTGCAGATCGTAAGGCATCAAGGTCCAGAAGCTCGGCAGCATGTGCTAACTGCAAACAGGAAGTGCCACAAGGCCTTCAAGATGAAGCGTCAGTCGCCCCCAGCACCGTCGACGGCGCCCCTAAGGAGCTCTCATGGCCACCGCCCCCTACTAACACGGCGCAGGCAACCCCCGCAAGGTCCGCTGGACCAAGTCGTTCCGCAAGGCCGCCGGCAAGGAGATGACTGTCGACTCGACCCTCCAGTTCGCAGCCCGCCGCAACGTCCCCGTCCGGTACGACCGCGATCTCGTGCAGAAGACGCTCAAGGCCATGGAGCGTGTCTCGGAGATCCGCTCGCGCCGCGAGCGCGTCTTCTACAAGAAGCGCATGGCTGGCAACCGCCAGCGCAAGCTCGACGCTGCGCGCCGCCTCGTCGCCGAGAACCAGCACCTGCTGCCCCGCATGCGTGGCTCCGAAAAGAAGGCCCTCGCCGAGCAGGGTGCCACCGAGGAGGAGATTGCCGAGCTCGAGAGGGAGCAGGCCCTGTCTGGCAAGAAGAAGAGCAAGGTCTTCGGCCAGGAGAAGATCCGACAGAGGGTCACTGTCGATGGCGACATTGTCGAGGAGCGCGAGGGCGGCATGCAGTTCGACGACGACGACGAGTCGTTCGACGAGGAGGACGGCGAGGAGGACGACGAGGAGATGGATGTCGACTGAGTCTAAGCGCATGCTAGCTTGGAGGGATGTTTTGTCATGTTCGTTGGCGTGTCCATGTCGGCTCGTCTGGGGGGCCAAATCTTTGCCAAAGTTCATTTCTCGGCGTTTCGGATAGGTGGTGGCACCCATCAACGATGGACGGCGTTTGCGGCCCTGAGGGATACCAAAAAGTTGACGATCATTGAATTGAGCCTTCGTTTGTAATGCTCGTGGTCCCTATTCGGTGCAACGTCG